TCTCTCTCTCTCTCTCTCACTCGCGCCTGCCATCGCGCGAAACTCGCACCGACTCGATATATGCGCTTTTCCCCTTCATCCCTTCTCGAGGGCCGCCGTCGCCGTCTCCAGTCTTCCTCCCCCGCCGTGTGGACTCGTGAAATTCCGGAATTCCGCGCGTCCGTGGCTCCACCTCCCCCCTCACGACGCGCGAAATCTTTTTTTAAACTCCGCCTAGACGGGAGCGAGAGCGAGACAGGGCGACAGAGAGGAAAAAAGCTGAGCAGGCGCGAGCCACTCGGCCTTTTTCCCACTTCTTCCGCGGTGCAAACACGCTGCACGGCCAATGCCCCGCCTACTTTCGACGGGTTCCCCATCAGCGCTTTTCCAACGGTGCAGATTTTCCGGGGAATATGGCTCTCTCTCTCTCTCTCTCTCTCTCCCCTCGAGGCTCTTCCCGATAGGCGGGAGAAACAGTCACCGCGATTCCCACTAGTTAGCGCTGTCAGGACATTCTGCTGACATCTAGCGGCGGATATTTTTCCGTACTGGGGGTTGTTTCGGGGAATTCTATATCGCTTTATACACTTTTGTGCGTTCTTCTTTGTTGTATCATTAAGATATTGGTGGTACAGATTCAGAAATGCCGATTGATAACGAGAAGAGTTATACACGTTAAATAACTTTGAAATATTTAGTAGGGGAATAAATTTTCAGAATGTAATCAATAGAAGAGATGTTTTTGTTAATTTGAGGTTTAGTTTGATTTAGTTGGCATTCAATTTAACAATTAGATGTACTGTGCATAATAATATTGAAAATATTTGAGGGAATGTTTTCAAGGTTATTTACTGTATCTTACATCGATAAGGAAGTAAACTTTCCCGTTTCATTTATCGATCGTGTCCTATAAAGTTACTAGACTGAACCTTGGCGACATCTGTTGGCGAATTTGTCAGAATGAAATTTATCCCTAGCATTTTAAACGTATTCAACTGATGTAAAAATAATGTAGATTCCAGAAACAATTTTATAATGACGATTAAGATAAAATATAGTTTCTAGTGAAGAAATTTCGATACTCAGTGCTTGATTTTATTGATAATCGTAACTTTCAACTCTCTTACAATGCATAATTAGTATAAAAACAATATTTTTTATTGATATCTTAAGTTTTAATACGAAATGTCGATTTTTTAAAAATGTATGGAATGCCAAAAAAATGAAAATATAATATATATTATTGGAACAATCTTCTGAAGGGGTTGCTTTGCTACGTCGATACGAAGTCCCTACTTTCCCATGAGGTCGATAAAGCAGGCGTCTATTTCACAAAATTTTCAACCGATTAACTCGTAATTTAGTGCAAACGAGATCCCTGATGGCGCACATGGGTATAATTGTCACCGATTCGTACAACCCCGCAAAAACAATTCGCTTTCATCACATAAAATAAATTTACATCGTGTAAAGCGATGTCTATGTAATAGAAAATAACAAGTGTTTTGAACAACGAAAATTATCTTTTACGATAAAAAAAATACTTAAAAATTACTTACACAAAAATTTTTAAACACGTATTCATTACCAGTTCATGTCACTTATTAACTCTCCACAATCTAAAGTTTTCACGATTCTTACCCCAATAAAAATAAATTTCTAATATGACTATACGTCATATTCCACTCATTTTCGATTTTTCATTTCATTTTATCTTGTCAAAGATATTTCGAAAAATTACCTGTTCGTATCCAACAAACATCAGACCATCAAATTTATCAACAACCAGTTCATCAACCAATCACTTATAAACCCAATATTCCCGACTCTCGATTAATTCCCAACTAATTCCCCATTCCATTTAGTCAATCACATTTCCCTATTCCCATCGGTCTTATCGATCTATCGGAATGCAGTGGCAACGATTCGCAATCACGTATCAATAGCGCGAAACTATTTACACCAAAAAAAA